GGCCTCCGCGGTGGGTGGTGATTTCTCGTTTTCTGTCTCTCTGTCTCTCTCTCTCTCTGTCTGGCAAGCACGTACGCCCTATGGCAAACCCCCCCCCCCCCAAAAAAAAAAAAAAAGATGATTTCCTGAGCAGAAAGGATGTGTGGATGCTGGTGCAGTAACCAGAAATCCAGTGTGGTTGTGTGTGTGTGTGTGTGTGATCTATAGCTAGAGAAGAGTCATCCGTTGAAGAATCTGACTCAGAAAACAAAGGAAAAAGACCAGATTCCCACGGAGAGGGTAAGGAAGGGAGAAGGGTAGAAAAGGGAAAATATCCCAGACTCGCTGAAGTCCAGAGACAGTCAACGGGAGAAAATGGCCAAATTAGGATGCCCAGAACCTATTCTGTGTGATAAAATATTAATTCTATCTGTTTAACACAAGAAACTGATTTTCAGATGAAGGAATGTTTTCAAGGCTGTGCACCTGGCAGGTGTTAGAGTAGGCACTTATCAGAAATGTCCATTTCTGTTAACTGCTGAATGCAATACCCCTTCCTAGATTTGTACCTTCCTGTGAGTTAAATGCAAACCACTCATGAGTCCAAATTCTAGTTGAAGAATATTGCAGGTACCAGGCTTCCTTGGCTCTAATGGTAACTCCAGAAATCTCTGGATCCTTGTGTCTCAGAGGGAAGCCTCTGTTCTCATCTCACCTGCAGCATCTCCAGGGCTGAGGCCCGACTTCTACGCTCCACCTCTGAGATTAGCTCCTGCAGGGCCTGACTCTGCTGGACCAGCTCCGCCTCCATTTCTCCCAGGATTCTCAGCTGTTCCTTTTCATTCTCATCTAGCTTCTGCAGCTGCCTCTGTTCCTCTTCATCCAGGAAGTTTTTCTGCTGTACAAACTCTGCATGAATCCTCAGTTTGTGTGTCTCAACCTCTCTCTGTGGTGTCAAGAGAAAAGGAAGGTGATTTATTTATTTATTTATTTATTTATTTATTTTATTTTATTTTATTTTTTTAATCAAACTCTCCCAAATATGAGGTGTTGGTACTTACTTCTATTTCCTGGAAACTACACACACACACACACACACACACACACACACACACAGAGTTCCTCTGCAGAGGACGTAGGTTGGTGAAGTTTCTGAGGGGAACAGGACTGGTGGTTGTGGGGAAACACTGTAGCTGCCCTATAACCCCAGCTTCATGAACCTATGGTTCAGAGATTTCCATCAACCTCTCTTTTAAAATCCAGACAACATTTAAATGTGTCCTTCTGCCATCATATCTCAGTGAAAGAGTAGCATCTATTCCCATCTCTGGCAACCAAACAAAGACTCATAATAGCATTCCTAAATCCTGGAACAGGATGGCTTTGGGATATTCTTTGCTTGCTCTCTCCTACCAATAACTGAAAATTCACCTGATGACACAGAATGATCTGTTCTGCCTCCACAACCTGACTCACCCTTCCCTGTTCCAAATCTTCCTCTTTTGGGTCTATTGGTCATCAATTCTTTCTTGTCCTTTATAATCCTCGACATGCCCCAACTTTACCTACAAGCCAGTGAAGAACAAGTTTTAATGATCCATTACACTCTGAACTAGTGATCTGGTCACGGTTAAGCAACTACTTGGTCAGACTAATTTTTCTGTATCAGGTTGTGATGGTTCCCTTAAGTCTGTTCCACACAGCCTTGCCATTTCCCTCAGCGTTTGGATTCTCTACTGAGACACCTCTGTCCCAGACACTGGGGCATTAATGCTGCCATTCCGGAGATGGCTTAGATGAGCACAGACCTTCAGCACTTTCTCCTGATCTTGATCTTTGTGCCTATTGGGAGTTGTCTTTTGAGCCTTCATCCTTTTTATTTCCCTCTGTCTGGAGACTTAGAGGATGATTGTTCTTGGATAGTTGGATATACCAACCATATCACTGCTTAGCTAGGCACAGCTATGGTCAAGTTGTCTGGAGTCCAGGAACCTGCCCAGTCTTCCAATATAAATCTCCTCCCAGGCATGACTTGCCTTCCAGTTTGCTCTCTTTGTTGCAACATCCACTTCCAACTTCTCAGCCACCTCTTGCTTTTTTCTTAACTTCCCTAATGCCACCTGAAGCTTCTCCTGTAGAGATAAGATAGTAGATTAATCCCAAATCACATCAAGAAGTAGAGTGGGGTGGCATGGGTAGGAAAGATCATACTGTTTTGTAGGAAAAGCTTCAGTGCAGAACAGGGGAAAGGACTGAGTCTGACAGGGCTAATTATTATGTGAATGGGAGGATATCAGAAAAAGCCCAAATGTGTCTTACAAAATACATTATTGGGGTGGCCGGGGTGGGGTGTTATTCATTCCTGACTGATCAGGAGGCTATGGGAGGCATGATCTTTGCAGCATTCTCACACAGCATATTCCCTGCTCCTGGGGAATGAGAAAGTTGTGTCTGGCCTGCAATTTCCCTTTAGATTGGAGATGGGATGAGGGAAGTACCCTTCCTTTCCTCAACCCCTCAAATCTAGAGTTGACTCATCCCCAGCTCTGGGGAACAAGCACTTACAGGGCCCACTTTCTTTCCTCCTGTTTGTGTCTTGGGGCTAAGCCTCACCTGGTATTCCTGAGCAGCATCCTCAAGAGGGACCATGGAGTGGCCACGGTGTTTTCGGGACTGTGCACACACCCAGCAGAGGGGCTTCCCATCTTTCTCACAGAACAGGTGAAGTTTCTCTCCATGCACTGTACATTGTTCCCCTTGTGTTTTCTCCTTGGCATTCTGGCTGATTTGCCTAAGGTTTTCCATCATGTTGGCAAGCTGCCGATTGGGCCGGCAGTTCCTGACCAGAAAGTGCTTCCGGCACACAGGACAGACACTGCCTCCATTTTTCCCGACCTGAGAGATGCATTCCTGGCAGAAGCTGTGACCACAGTCAATGCTCACAGGCTCTTCCATGGGATCCAGGCAGATGGAGCACGTGACCTCCTCCCACATCATTGCTAGGGGCTTTGCTGAAGCCATGGTGGTGTTATGCAGCACAGTGGAGACCTCGAAGGGGCTGGTGGGGCAAGAAGGAAGGGAAATGAGAAGACAAGAAAGTCTGCATAAGAAAAACAGGGATCCAGGCAGATGGAGCACGTGACCTCCTCCCACATCATTGCTAGGGGCTTTGCTGAAGCCATGGTGGTGTTATGCAGCACAGTGGAGACCTCGAAGGGGCTGGTGGGGCAAGAAGAAAAGGGAAACGAGAAGACAAGAAAGTCTGCATGAGAAAAACAAAATGATGCAAAGGGAAACACGAGGGAGTATAATCTGGAGGGATGAAAAACGTTAGCCTGAATAATCATAGCCTGTCCTCCATAGGCCAGCCCATTGATCTATCTAGTCAGGCAGAGGGGGAAACAGTCCCCAAAAGACGCAGAGAGAACTGGCAGGAACCTTAATAATAAAGCTGTTTACAATTACAATTTCATGATGTCCATTCCAGCTTAAACCCTCAGTGCCCAGGCATTTCCCAGCCATCTTCTCCTGTCTCAGGCCACCAGGCTTCCATGTTGCTAAGAAGCTAATCATAAAATGACGGTTTAGTGTGTGTTTTCCATGTGTGACAGAATGTGCTACATGCTTTGCATACATCTTTATGAATCTTTACAACAATGTCAGGAGTCAGGTATGTATACATACACATGAATATTTACATGCATTATAATTTATTCTCCCTTTTTCTTCCTTCATTTTTATTTTTACTTTTTAAGTTTTTCTGGAAAGGCCTATACTGACCACAGAGGTAGAGGGAGACAGAGGGGGAGAAATGTGGCATGGTTACACCATAATCCCATCTCCATTTCTCCATCCTTGTTGGAATTTTGACCATGCACATGCACCAGGTATGTTTTTCAAGCTGCCAGTGCTGGGATTGGAACCGCTGGGTCACTGGCCATGAGGGATCTGGTTCCCTTAGCCACCAGACCACAGAACTTGCCCTGATACATTCTTATGTATATTCATATCTATGGATGTACATATGTATATGTGTCTGTGCTTTGTATGCACACAGGTGTACACATGTATACACGGATATGTGAGTACACACACACGGATGTGTGACCAGTACTTCCTGGGCTCCACACCTAGCTCCTTTCCTCTAGAATACAGAGGAGTCTTGACACCATACATTTCTAGTTGAGCACCCTAAACAGCCTGACCCTCTCACCTCCAGGAGGCAGCTTTGTGGATGGCAGACTGGTGGCTAGCTGACCTCTCCCGCCCTGGGTCATCAGGTCACCCTCCGGACTAGGCTGGCTCTCCCGGATTCACTGTCGCTCATCCCTGCTCAGGTGCCAGTTCCAGAGCAGCCCAAGCTCCCTGCAGGTGACTTGGAAGTCAAGCACCCCAGCCTCCCCCCACTCTACCCCCAGTACCCAGCAGGCCCGCGCGAGAAACATCGCTGGACTTGGGTTGAGCGAGCCCGGCTGCGGACAAGGGACAACTGGGGCTCTGTAGTGTCCACTGGTCGGAAATCTGGGGAGGGAAGAGAGGGCCCCTCGGGAGGTAGGGGTACTCACTCACCTTACCGGGTACACCGCCTTGGCCGCTGCTCCCTATTTCACTTTCAATTTCCCCTCAGAGGCGAGTCTAAAAAGAAAGGGGCGGAGAGGAGGAGAGTGGAGTGGGCGGTGCATTGGGAGGAGCCGAGGATTGTAGGAGGGGCTAGGGAGGCGGGTGGGGGGGGGGAAGGTGAAGCGAGGCTGGGGGACTCCGGGAGCTCCAGACCCTGCAGCTGTGCACCCTGTCGTCCTAATGCGCACTGCCACCTCTGTCTTCATTATCTAATTTTGCAAAATAGAGTATCTACCAGATGGAGCAGACCTTGCCACACCGACCCTTCCTGTCGCCTCTACCGAGGTGCTATGTCCCTGTCTGGAAGCGCTCTAAGGAGGTTAGCGTGCAAAGCATGCCTAGCGCCCTCCCTTACAGCATTCTGCTTCCTACTTGAGACTGAATTGCTTTCTACGTGACTTATATTATTTTAACACCGCGGTGGGGGGGCGGAATTTGTTCTTCGTGATTCCCGGGTCAGGTATCACAATTAACAAGAGGTAAGAAGGGAATTTCATTTATTGACCACCAACTGCGTTGTGTTACTGAGTAGAGATATTCTTAGATGATATTATTGTTATTATTATTTGATAAGACACACTAAAGTTTACTATTTTAACCATGTATTTCTATTTTTACTTTTATTTTTTATTATTATAATCTTTTAATCTTACATTGAATGACATATATCTTTACAGTGTACTACATTTCTTTTTTTCAGCATGATTACCATGCATATCAGTCAAGAAAAAGACATTACTATCCACGTTATCATCATCAAATAGCTTTTCATCATTTTTTTTCATATTATTATTATTATTTATTCTTATTATTTTTTTAAACATTCAATCACTATATATCATTTGGCTTGTATAAAGAATTTACCCAACATGAAATATTTCTCAGACCAGTCCAATTGAGAATACCATACATCAATAGGTAATAAACCATTTCTGTGTCACACTAATATCATGCCTTTCTATTCTCTTGCTATTCTTCTCTATACTCTTCCCTTCTTCCCCTCCCCACACTGTCTTCAGCATCCCTAACTATTTTTACTGCTTTTATGCCCTCCAATGTTTCAAACTACCATGAAGTCCAGAAAATCAGTATATATTAAGTGGATACATACATTATCTTTCACATCCTGCCTTGCTTCACTCAGCAATAGATTCTCCATATTTGACCACTTTCTATCAAATGCCAGGGTGTTCTTTTTCTTTTTTTCTATCAAATGCCAGGGTCTTCTTTTTCTTTCTTCTTCTTCTTTTTTTTAATGGCTGAGTAGTGTTCTATAGAGTATATATGCCACACTTTTTAAATTCATTCATCTGTTTTGGGACATTTGGGTTGGTTTCATGTTCTTAGCATTTGTGAATAATACCGCAATAAACATTGATGTGCAAGTGTTTTTCCAACTGAGCATTCTTCCGTCCTTTGGGTAGATACCCAGAAGTGGGATTGCTGGATCAAATGGTAGTTCTATTTGTAGATCTTTAAGGAACCTCTGTATTGTTTTCCACAGTGGCTGAAGCAGTTTACATCCCCACTAACAGAGTAGGAGAGTTCTCCTTTCATCACATTCCTGCCAACACCTACCACTTTTTGTACTTTTAATCTTTACCATTTTGATAGGGGTTAGGTGGTATCTCATTGTGGTTTTAATCTGCATCTCTCTTATGATGAGGGATGTTGAGCATTTCCTCATAGGCTTTTTGGCTGTTTGTATGTCTTCCTTAGAGATATATTTTTTTAACAGATGATAATCAATTTATTAAAATAGTTGACTTAGGCATCTGCAATGGTGACTTTAACCTCAACTCCTGGTTCGATACTGATGCAAGTAATCTGTTTAACAATCTCAGAAGGACTGTACAAATCAATGAGTCGCTTGTGGGTTCTCATCTGGAAACGATCCCAAGTCTTAGAACCTTCACCACAAGGTGTTTTTCTTGTAGTGACTCTCAAAATCTTGGTAGGCATCCGAACTGGTCCTTTCACCTTGAATTCTTTTCCTTTGCACCTCTGATTAAGTCAGCACACACTTTTTCCAGGGACATTACATTGCGGCGGGTTAAAGTCATTCTAACTTCGTGAATGGCCACCTCTGGCTCCACGGGTGTTTTTCCAGTATCTTTAAAAGCCATGGCTGCGGTGCGGCTTCCTGACGGACTTGTTCCTCCGCGAGAGCGAACAGCGGTGAGTCAGGAGCAGAGCAGGCCGCCAAAGCTCCGCGCCACCTGTGTCCGCTTCTTCCGCAAAGAGCCTTAGAGAGATTTTTGTTCATCTCATTTTTCCATCTTTTAATTGGGTTAATAATTTTTTTTTTTCCCTGAGTAAGCTGCTTTAGTTCCCTGTGTATTCTGTTTATCAGTCCCTTGCCTGAGGGATATTTTACAAAAATATCCTCCCATTCAGAGGACTGTGGATTCACACTTGTTACTGTGCCCTTTGCTGTGTAGAAACTTCTTAATCTGATATAGTGCTACTTGTCTATTTTAGGGATTATTGCCTATGCTTCGGGATTGTTATTTAAGAAGTCTTTGCTTACCCCAATGTCTCCCAGAGTTGCCCCAGTATTTTCTACCAGTAGTTTTATAGTTTGAGGTCTTAGGTTTAGATCTTTGATCCATTTTGAGTTGATTTTTGTTAATAGTGAAGGATGGGGATTCTGTTTCATCTTCCTCCAAGTGGATACCCAGTTTTCCAGCACCATTTGCTAAAAATGTTTTCCTTTTCCCAATGGATCGACTAGTATCCTTTGTAAAAAATCAGTTGGCTGTAGACCTTTTAACAAAACTTAAATATGAATCCTTTAAAAATTATCTCCTTAACTTTAGTGCCTAAAACATGATAAGAATCTGTAAAAATCACTAACTTAACTTTCAATGCATGAAAATAGGGCATGGGAGGAGTATGGGAAGGCCTACATTGGGTTACAGTCCATGGAACACAGAGATTGGTCACTAGGTGAAAGAACCACTTGGATGATCTCAGGAGCTGCTAATGACTTCGAGTAGACCAAATCTTCAGATACCCTGTTCTCCAGTCTCCAGGACACATTGACCTTCAGTAAAGTAGAGGCATTGGGACAACTGTAGGATAGCCTGTCACCTGCACATTGTCTTCCTGTCCATGCCGGATAGAGAGGAAAAGGTGCGATTAAAGGGGATGAATTAAAAGCCATGACTTTTTACCAAATACTTAGCCAATGCTCTATAAGATTCTCAAGAAAACTGAGAAAAGACTGAGAAACTGTCACAGACCAGCGGTAACTAAGGAGACATGATGACTAAATGCAATGTACTACTTTGGATAGGTGGAACAGAAAAAAGATATCAGTGGAAAAACTGATGAAATCTGAGTAAAGTCTGAACTTGAGTTAATAGTATTGTACTATTAATCCCTTAGTTTTGGAAATGTATCATGGTTATGTAAGATGTGAACATTAAGAA